TCTCACAGCACATCGCGCATATTTTAACGGTATATTAAGTGATACCATACTCAGTGGCGCTACTAAATTATACTAAACTACTGAATGATAATTAAATCATACTAAACTGAGATTTCAAAAGAGTTAATATCGAAGTGAGATATTAATGAGATAATTCATTAATAATATTTTTAAATTTTATTGCTAATAGTTTTATTATTTTAATATTATAGATTAATTTTCAATTTTTTCGAAATTTTAACATTTTTAACAGAATTTTATATACTTTTCCAGTCGTTAAAATAATAATATGAAAATAGCTCTTTTTTATTTTTTTTTTTTTTAACTAAGCAAAAATTAAAACATTAAAGTTTTATTTTAGATAAAAATTAAGAAAAATTAGAATTCTTTTATTGAATTTGCGATTTTAAATCTATATCTTATTTTATATGGTATATTATTTATTTTATTAAGAAAAAGAATTTATAAACATTTATATATTTAAATTTTAAAGAATTCATATAAACGTAAATTTACATGGCAAAAATTCAAATTTCATTCTTTATAATTGACTAAAAAACTAATTTTTTATATGTTTTTTATATGTTAATGTTATTATGCTATTATATAAAAAAGCTTTCTTGTCTATTCTTATTTTATAGGAATCATATCATTGATTCTATTATATTCTTTTTGTATCTTTAATTGCAATTATTTATGTGATAATAGTGAAATAAGGATTCAACTTTCACACATATCTTGGCTAAATTTATTGAAGAACTTTTTGATTCGAGATATATACAGAATTATATACAGAATGTTTTATATCAATTTTATATTTCTGTTAATTAATGTAAATTATAATGTAAATTTTTCCTTTATTGATTTACGTTTTCATCATATTTGATGATGTGTGTGTTTTATTGCTGATGTGATACAAGTTATATATTTTATGTCTGAGATGTTTTGGTGTTAAAAAAAAATATATGATGATATATGATTACTTTTACGTACACACATGCATAGCATGATTTTTTTATTTTTTAAAGATCTCAAGTTAGATTCTTTAATTGGCAATTTATTTAATAACTAATTGTTTAAAAATTAAATATTGAAATATTGAAAAAGATGCTTCCATTATATTTATGCTATTGCTAAGCACATGTCAAATTTTTTTCAAAAATTTAAGCTTGATATAGAATAATTCGAAATGTTTCTTAAATCTTTATTTTCCTATTTTTTTTCTCTCCCCTCTCTTTTTTTCTTTTTTTAGAAACCAAATTTCATCTTTTTCTGGGAAGCATCTAAATTTATTATGGAAGATGATACATAAAAAGAATATTTAATTAAACGATAAATATATCTCGCTGTTTCATCATATTGTTAGTTTGCGCACAAATATTAATTATGCAAATTATAAGAATTTAAGAAAAATATATTGTAAAAGTTGAGAGCCTGTTAAGACTGGATAGAGAAAAAATGTTTTCGCGTTTCAACTTGCATATAAAGTTTGAAGAAAATGTGTCAGCCATTTTGTGATTAGAAAAACAAATTTTACAAATTTTTTACGAATTTGTTATTTCATTATCAATTTACACAAATACTAAATTAAAATTTTGAGGTTTCACACATTTTTCTCATTATATTTGACTAATAATTTATTTATAATAAGTGCTTAATAATATTTTTTTTATTAAAAATTTTATAACATTATTTTTGAACATCATGAACAATTTTTTTTCTTGTAAAGAAGAATATTAATTAACGAATATTAAAGAATTTATTTTATAAAAGCGTAAAGGACCTCACATATTTTATATGAAAAAACTTTGGTTAAATTGGCTGAAATTGAAATACGTTGTAGTTTAGATGGTGCTGATCAAAAGTTTCCTTCGACGAAAAGTTCGAAAATCAAAACTATAAAAGATATGATGATTTAAAGTGAGTGGTATTGAAGTTTAAAAAACGTCTGTTTTTGAATACATAAATTAAGTTAATATATAAATATTAAAAAAAAAAAGAAAAAAACAAATGTGTGTGTGTGTGTGTGTGAGAGTGTGTGTGTGTAAAATGTGTGCCAATTCTACAGTATTTAATGACTTCAAACTCTTTCTGTCGTGCGTGTGTTACGCAGAGATCAAAAATGCGCGTGCGCGCGTACACACATGCACACACGCATGTGCACACGCCCATATATATGATATAAATATTGCAAAAGTAACATACATATTATATATATATTTTTTTCCAAACATTTATATATTACCTTAATTTATGTATTCAAAAACATGCGTATTTTAAACTTCAATACAACTCATTTCAAATCATATCTTTTATACTTTCGGTTTTCAGACGTTTTGTTCAAGGAAACTTTTAATCAACGTCATCTAAACTACAACATATTTCAATTTTAGCCAATTAAACTGAAGCTACTTTTTCATATAAAATGTGCAGAGTTCTTTATTTTATATACGCATGATTAAGTAAGCCATATTTAAACTGATTATAATTAATTATATTCATATATTAATTATATAAAATGTATATTTTGTATTTTAACATAATTGAAATTCCTTCGTCTTCCTAATTTTCACACAATAATAAGATTGTTATATACTACATGTGTTTTTTTCTTAATGATGAACTTTTAGAAATTATTTATATATTATGTTAAATATATACATTTAAATTTTTGCTTTAATTATTAAATATTTAATCATATTATATGTATATGTACATGTTAATATTGTGTGTACATACGTGCGTACGTCTGTACGTGCGTGCGTGATGTTATATATATATATAATTCTATTATTTAAATCTCATTAAACTTTTTTTCTTCCTAAGCTTTAAATAACATGTAATAAAATTATTTTTAATGTATGATTGAGATTTACAACATTCTTTGTGTACACATTATCCTGTTTTAAACTTGCAATAAAAAATATTTATTTTTGTAATAGGATTATTTTTTTAATTGAAGATTGAGTGTAAATAATTATAATTCCATAGTTAAAAAATTAATTATGACAAGTAGGATTTTATTATTATTATTAAGCCAAATTATTTGATTAATAATTAAGAAAGATGATAAACATAACTATAGTAATTTTTGAATTTCTAGAAATTATAGTGATTTATATATTATATAATATCATATATATAAGACTATATATAGATCAATAAAATCTTATAAATAATAGAAATTATTGCATAAATAAATCATGATGTAAGAATTAAACATACTAATGTTTCATTGGATGTATGAATATACGCAAGTCTCATACAGGCAGGCTGTATATAGATTTTTTTTAATTTTAACAGAAGAATATATATATATATATATATATATATATATATATATATATATATATAAAGCAGTAAATTCATTTATTTATAATTTTATTTTTTTTTTAAATAAAAATAATCTCTTTTTTATCTGTTTCTATTTACGTTAAATAAATTTTCTTGTTAGTTAAAAAGTTTTTTACATCTAATAATTTTCTTTTTCTTATTTATATTTTTGTCTTTTTCTTTTTTCTTCTTTAATTATGTTGTTTTTCTTCTTGTCTCTGAATTTTTTAGAGGAATTATCTCGTTACTAATTCATAGTAAATTTTGTATATAAAAATGTAATATATGTGGATACTTACCATATAAATACTTATTATATATAAAGTATATAATATAATAATAAAGATCAATGATCTTCAAATCCCATATGTAAAATTGCTTTTTTATGAGTATACCCCATTTTTTATATATACATATACAGCGCAAAGTAATTATTCTTATTAAAAAATAATTATAAAATTATGTATGTATATATAATATATGAAGATATTTTATAATTTATATACTTTTATATTAGCTTTTGTGTATATTAGTATATTAGTTTTGCACGGTTTGATATTATATTTATAAATAGAGATGTGTGTGTGTGTGTGTGTCAACATAATTCTTTGATAATATATTAATTAATAAATATATAATTAATCATTATTAATTATTGTGAGAAATCGAAATTTTGTTGTAATTAGCTTCATTTTTTTGTATTTTTATTTGTTCCATCTTTATTTTTATTTTTTAATTTTATATGTTTATTTTACTTGTATTTCTTTAACTTGATATATAATGATGATTTTTAAATTAATTAAATGCATGTTTGCATGTGTATTAGTAAATAATCGTAACTAACCATTTAATATATGTTGTGATTATCATCATAAAATATAAAATTGTAATTATTTTGTAAATAAAAATAATAAATTATAAGAATAATTTTATTTTTTATTAATAATTTTATTGTGTGTTTAGATTTTTTAAATCGATTAAATAATTTGTTAAACTTGGGTATCGATTGTGTAACTTTTTCTAAAGTAAAAAACGTGAAAAGTGAAGAATTTCTTCCAATCACACATCGATTTCATTTTAAAATCAATGCGTTAGAATTGGCGGAAATTTTTCACTTTTCACGTTTTCATTTTAGAAAAAGTTACACAATCGATACCTTGAATTTAAATTTTTCTTGATCCACTATTTCGCACTAATTTTTAAGAATTCTATATAACAATTGTATATTTTTTATTTATAAAAAATCGTCTTTATTTGTTGCATGTAATAGAGTCGACCTATCAACAACATAGACAAGACGAGCAAGATTGTTATATCCAGCTTTCAGGATGTTACTCAGGAAAGTGTCTTTTTTGGCGCGAAATAATAAATGCGAAATGAGGAATAGACAATTTATTATATTACCTGAATTTTTCAATATATTTAACTATATTTATGGAAGAATGAAGATTGTATATGAAACATTATATAATAGCAAGTTTATAATTTGCAAGTAATACATACATGGAATATATACATATATATATACATATTTTTCGGCAATGGTAAAATTTTACCAGGTAATTGCATTGCAAAAATTTCTTTTTTAAAAAAATATACATATATATGTTAGTACTTTAAAATTAAATTAAAATAATTAAAACAGTCAATTCGTAAATATTTTACAATCTTCCTTTATGGAAAGAATTTTTTCTTATAGCAGTGTGCATAAAGAAAAATGTAATCAACAACAAATATTAATCTCAGCAATCTTCATTCTTTCTATTTTCTTTCTTTATTATAAAAATTTATTTTCCAAAGTTAAACAGGAGAAAATAATAAGGTAAACATTTTTGGAAAACATTGGAAATACATGGAAGAGAAAAATAAATAAACGAAGCATTTTGCTTCGCAAGCTTAGAGGGCTTTCTTATTTTTTAGCAAAAATAATAGATTTTTGATGTAATAAATAAGATTAAAATTTTTCTGCATTTACGTGAAATATTGCATTATTTAAGACTGATTATAACAAAATATACTCGGTATATTGAATAAAGAAAACGATAATTGAGAAAAGAAATTATCAGTACACAAATATTCATTTTTACATGACGATGAAATAACAATAATTGATTCTCTTTAACATGTTAAATATAATAAAAAATATTAAATTATTAAAAATTACTTATTTTTCCTTGTAAATTTTATAATATATGATAAACTCGTTGAAATGTAAAAAGGCCAAAGAATTGCATTTATGTACATTCTGTTAAATATGCCATCTCTTTTATAATTTTACGTGTGTTTCTTGTAATTCTTATATTGGCATAAATTGCTTTGCTTGTCGAAATTTAATGTTTAACGAAATTTTTTATATATGTGTATATATATATATATATATATATATATATATATATTACATACACACACACGCACATGTACATACAAATATATGTATGTTATATATCTATACGTATTATGTACATAAATACATATACATATATATATAGATACATATATGCAGGTACCTGAAAAACATTGAATATTCTTTTAAAAATAAATTTTTTAATCAATTTAAGAAATTAATTTTGATTTAGTGAAAATATCAGAGATTATCTCATTTATTGCAAATGTTTATTATTTACCTAATTCTATTATTTATTTTATTCTATTATTTACAAATTTCTATTATTTATCTTTGTAAGTAATACTTAGATTAAAATTTTATTAAATTTTATCTTAAAGTAATTGAGAGAATATATATAGTTTTATCTTTCTAACTTAGAAGTTAAATTTGCAAAAGTTTTTCTTTTTTTAACCGCACATTCAATAATTATTAATGTATTTACATTTTTTCCGAAGAAGAATCGATTTTAAGTTAGTCAAAGAAGAAAAGAACATCCTATAGTTTATCCTATAAAATAGCTTATATACATTATGCTCTTACGCGCACGCACACACACAAACACACATATATGTGTACGTATTATTATATTATGTATGATTGCATTATATTAATATTAATATATGTAGAGAAAGTTCATTGACATATGAATTTGCAAAAGAAATATTTATGTATATCTTTATCAAAATTAGAATTTATGGATATAAGAATAAATTGTGTGTGTGTGTATGTATGTATGTATGGTGTATATATATATATATATATATATATATATATATATATATATAATCTTTTCTATCTTTATTAAATATCTTATAAATAATTATGTAATATAATAAAATTGAAAATTAGGATAATTAAAACACAGAAAAAGCAAGATTATTAAAAAATAATTCAGTAATAAAATTGGTATAATAATTATATATAATTCTTTCAAGTTATAGGTATCAAATACACCACTTCTTGTTTTACACACACGCACGCGCGCGCGCACACACACATACACACATATACATACATACCTACATAAAAATACAATACACAGTGCTGTGTATGTAATATTTATATCATTATTATACACAATGATGATGATAGTAATAATAGTAATAATGACAATAATTAGGTAATAAATGATATATTACAACAAAATATGATCTGTCACAAAAGCATAAAGAAAAATATATAGAAAATTTTTTTCTCTTCATATACATCCATTTTGCTTCTTTCTCATTTTCTCAATATTTTTTTCTATATAACAACAATTATAACATATATTATACATGTTGAAGGAATGTGATGGCATCTTTGATGAGCACCATTCTGATTAGCGATTTATTTTTTCCGATCGATCTTAACTGTATCTTGAATTATTTCTACAAGAGAAATAAAGGAAAAGATATTGTAGCTCTTTATCTCTCTAAGTGTTACATTTGTAATTTAAAGAACGAATAAATTTATGCATATAATTGATTATTAAAAAATTAAAATGTTGGTTATTTAATTAACAAAAAGAACAGAGATGCATATATTTTTATATTATATAATATATATTTCTCTTCTTTTTTAGTTTGTTTATATATATATATATATTTTACCTAGATTATGTATTATATAATTATATAATTCGTTCTTTAGTTTCATACTTCCTTCCTTGTTAAACCTAAGTAAAAAAAAATTATATTTTTTAATTATGTACACAAGAATATAAATAAAGAATGTACAAACTTTTGTAGAGCCCGAGAAAATTATATAACTTCAATATGATTTAATACACACTAACACACACACACATACATACATATAATTATTAAATTATATTTTCGTGGATTATTTAAATAATGAATAATTATAAATCCGGGATTATAATATTGTGCGATGGCACTTTATAAATTACAACGATTTATTGTTAATCTTGTATTTATGTTGTATATATGTGTGTGTTTATTTATATAATATGTATAAACTTTTCGTCTTTCATATTTATATATTTATACATAGAATTTGTTTTGCTAACTTTTTCATTTCCTATGTGGAAAACTAGTCCTATATAACTTTCTATTCTGTAACGCAGCAACAATAATAACAATAGACAGGAGAGACTAAGTCTTTTTATATATTTTTGTTTCATCTTGTTTTGGTCCTGATTTTCTTTTTAGTTCATCCACTTGCGACAATTGGGCGCGCCGCAGGCACATGCAATCTTGTGTTGGTCGTCTTCGATATCAAACTTGTAATCGTATGCTAACTGAAAGAAAAAATAAATAAATATAATACATATTAAAATAGTAAGTTTGAAATGAGAGATAAAAATAAAAAGATTTTGAGTTAGGTTTTGAAAGAAATTAGTTTTAAAGGATTTTATAGTTACTTCTTCGCCGCGTGAAATTCTGCGCTTGGCAAAAATAATAATCCTGAGATCGCGCTCGACTTCGACAGTTTCAGCGACGCAGTTAGGATTGCAAGAATGATTGATGTACCGGGCAAGACCACCGCACAATGTCGCATCTACCACTCGCTCTTCATCCAATCGAAACATATATATCCCGCGATTCTGCAAACAAATAATATTGAATAAAGAATAAATAGAGAATAAATAGAAAAATATATAAAAATAGGAAATGATGAGTAATACATAATGATAGAATAGAGAAAACAATTTTTATACACATTTTTACATACATGCGTACACGGACATGCATACATACAAAATAGAAAAAAAGATTAGAGATAGAAAATATTATGTTTTTATAAAATTATTAAAGAGAAATGCCCATGAGAAAAATTAATGTCTTTATAAAAAGAAAATTGAATATTTTGTTAATAATGATATATTTTTTTAATAATATATATGCCCAAAATATAATATAATATTATAATTATATAAGAAAAATATTTTTTTATATATAACAATATTTATATATTTATAATATTTATATATAATTATATATAAAACTAATATTTATATATAACATGTAATAAGAGAATTAATAGAGGAATATGAAATTGCGACTAAGTTTCGACTCACTCTAGCCTCGTACTGTTTCTCTCTTGTCTCTGCTAGCTCCGTTCTAATGATTTCCCCAATGTATTCGATCACCATTGTGTGCTTTTCCAGATCTCTCGCCGCGTACAATCCTAAGCCTTGAATTTTTGATCTCGCCAAATAAACATTATTACGCCATTCTTGCTTCATTTTTTTGTACTGCGAACTTTTGGAGTGTACAAATTGCTTGGAATATGGGCAGGAGGCGGTTTCACCGACCGTAGCAGCGGCAGCTACTAATGTCGAAGAAACCCCGCCGCCCATCGCGGCAGCGACGCTACATGTTGACAAGCCGAATGGTACTCCGCGCGACGCAAATCCCCCCGTACGCTGCGTGTGCGGACGTTTCCACGGCAGTTGATTGCGCAAGCGTGCTTCTGTTCGCGCGCTTCCGGTCGGATTAATGGCCAGCGGTAATTCCAGCAATGGATTACGACCGTATTTAAATCTGAAAGGAGAGAAATGCTTCACTATTATCTCTATCTGTTTAAGAAGATTGATATTTTTCAAATTAATACGAAATGTCAAAGAGTCTGTATGACAAATTAAAGAATTAGGATACTATAAGAATCTAGGACATCTGAAGGCACATTAACGAGAAATGTTGTAATCAAATAAGGAAAATCTATTATTAACATTTAGACAATTGGTAATAAATTTTAAAAAATTCGTAATTAATTTTAAAAAATATTTCAAAGATTTAAGAAAATATATTGTTCCCTGTCAGATCTTTTCGTATCTTTTTCACTCTATTTATAATCATTCATATTGTATTGCTCTTCTCAAATTATCTGAAAATCATGTACGCAAAGACTGAAAACATTATATTGTGCATGCACATATCATTTTAAATTGATTGTTCAGAGATTCGATTGTATTTTAAGGCTCTTGAAATCATATTTGAAAATTCGCCTATATTATATCAAATTAAGTTATCATTATATTGTATATTATCCTCTGTATATTAATAAAGAATCAATTTAAAAATTACAATTCTATAGGAAATTAAAATCCAATTATGCGTGATATCGTTCAGCTAATCCAAAAAGGAAGCTCTCACCTGTAGTCAGTTAAAGTCTCAATTCCAGGCAAGCTTTCCAATACCCGTACTACTGTTGGCTCTGTCAGACCAAATAAATCTTCTCCCGAAACATATCTCGGAAATAATTGAACAGAATTCGTGCTTCTCCTCAATTCCGCAAGCGGCTCTAAAATTCGGCTCCAAACAGCTCGTGGAGTAGCGTCTCTCAATTCAACATCCTCCTGAAGAGGTTCCTGGATTAAGACGCGAAATTCTGGACGACCGGAAACATCATGGATCGAACAAACGTAGCGACAACGTTTATTGGGTCTGCGCATACTCCAATAGAAGCGCACAATTTTGTAGCCCACTGGATAAATGTAGTTCGGCGTATGGAAATTTTGCAGTTGATGAGGAAGTAATTGACCAACGCTAAGGAAGATGAGAGAACCCACGCGAAGTAGATGATTATGCTCAGAATGGTGCATTACTGCGGCAACTTGACGATTTTCATCGCGGTTAACGTAGACGCGACGATAGGCAGACAGCGTCATCAATTCTCTTTCTTTTTCGTTTTTTAGAGAGTGTTGGGGACAATACATGGTCTAGAAAAATAAAGGATTCTCATCAAAATTGTATTTTTATGTTCTTAAAAAATTGTGTCTTTAATTTTACCGTTTTTTGAAACATTTTTTTCTATATTGCCTACATCTCTCCGATTGTAATGTATATATGCTCGCGATATATTTGTTATTTGATCACGCATGCATAAAATAATCGTACGTATGATAAAAAGATATTTTCATAAATATTTGTTTCTTTAAGTTTTAATGGAGAGCCTTATTTAGCCTCAAGCAAGTCAAGAATAGAAGTTAGAAGAATATTGTATAAAAAAGAAAAAAAGTTGAATACACAAACGAAAAAAAGAGATGTAAGAAAATCTTATACAGAGAAAATTAAGATATTATAAGAATTTAATTATACTTTTAAATACTTTCAAATAATTAAATAATTAAATCTCTCTAATATATCATATAATATTAAATATATTTTAAATAGTACGCATGCACGCGCGCATACACACACACACACAAAATTAGTACAATTACATATAAGAACAAATAAATATAAATTTTTCTAATAATTCTGATTACCTTGTCTTTGTAGAAAACGCATTTTTCTTTCATGGCACACATTAGATGATAGCAATTAGTACATCTTGGCTTATAGCACTTGATTGTGCCAGCAGGTTTTTCGCAGACGATACAAATTTGCATAAGATTATTCTGCAGTACATCATCTAGGTGCATAAGTGCACCACTCTGCATTTCATATACTACATTAGACCATAATGCGCAATTAAGATGCACCCATTTGTCCACATCGAAATTGAGTAATCGGGCCGGTCCATCGGCTGTTGCATCGCCTTGACTCTGACAGAAAATGCAACGGCGACTGTCTTCAGCTTTTGCAGGTGCTACAGTGACTCCCATGCGAAACAATACCTAGAAGAAGATTCGCTCTGTTTTTCGCAATTTTATATTTTAAAATTTAGATGTTTATTTGGAAGTTGTTTGGATATATGGATGTTTAAATATCAAAGATAGAGAAAGGGAGAACGAAAGGAAGAAGGGGGAGGGGGAGGGGGAGAAAAGGGAGAGAGAGAGAGAAAGAGAGAGATGTATAAATCCATATAAAAACATATTTAAATAAGATTAATAAGATATTATCGGATTATTTACATGCGCGCGCACTCTCCTCCCCTCCCCTACATAATCATTTAATAATTAAATCATAGTGTTTTACCTCGATAATCTCTCTGTCAGTGGGTTTTTTGAACTTGGTACCAGGTTGCATGGTTCCTAGCGACCATGTTTTATATCTCAAACCTTTCCAGATCTTCGCAGGTGGTTGGGGCTCAGTAGCTTCACTACTAATCTCCTCAGTAATTGAATGTTTTTTCGGCCGTTTCTCTTCATTCTCTATATTCTCTATGTTTTCTAGCTTTTCAGTCTTTATCTTAAGTTCAGTTGTTGATTCATTAATTTCCATACTTCCGAGTCTTTCTATACGCTGCTGTTGTTGCTTGATCGGAAACTTTTTTAAGCCTTTCAAATCGTCATCTAGCAGTTTTGTTTCCGCTTTATGGCATAAATGATCTACTATTGTCGCCGCCTATAAAGTAATAAAAGAGTTTAATATATAAGTTAAATATTATTTATGCTAAATTATATACGTTAAATTTTTATAACATTCTCTTATATATTAAACATTTTTAAATATATATATTATTCTTTTTTTGAACATTTTATTTCTAAATTTATTTAAATATTATTTTCATTAATAAACGTATTAATATCATACATTATATGGCAGAAATATTAAAAGAATTTTTTAAGATACATTGTGTGCGTGTGTATGTGTATATGTGTGGGTGTTTGTGTATGAGGAAGGTACAGAACATTATTTATATATATATATATATATATATATATATATATATATATATGTATTTATTTATTTCTTGTATACAAACCTTATCTTGAGTGGGAGGTGTTCGATGAATAAGAGCAAATTGCATATAGCAAGTTGCTGAACAGAAGCAAAGTTCATCACCGGGTTCGGTTTCTTCTTTACTGAAAAACGGCAGATCTGATACTTTCTTTCGGATTAGACTGTTAAGGATCACGACATCGCAATGACGACAAAACTTTGCCGCACCATTCAGGATACTTTGTATATCGACTGGAGCTAGGGAAAATAAATTGATATATATTTAAAAATGAATTTTAAGCTGTGTTGTCTCTCTTTTATTATTTATTTTATTTATGAGATTCTTTAATTTATTTTTTCTAAGATCTTTTTTCATAATTTAAAATTTTTCTAAGACCTTTTTTCATAATTTAAAAATTAGAATCGATATTCTCTCACATAAATTTTATTACTGAACAACTTTTAATAATAAAATCATTCTATTAATTACGTACCACCTTCTTTGCCATCTTTCCCTTTTGTTCTGTACAATCCTAGTTTCTGGCTAGGAGGAGTGGAAGTGCGTTCGACTATTTGATAGCCAGCAGGTGGTGCTATGTTCAAAATATTTGCAAGATCTTTGAGTACACCCATTATATCATCGGCAGCCTGACTATTTAGAGTTAAGGTCACGGTAACGTTTCCACTTTCCCGTAAGGGAATCGGAGGAGATTTGCCAAGTCTGAACAAAATAATATAATGTCATAAATAATAATAAAACAATATGTATATATAGAATAATAATAAAAATAAATAAATATACATACTTGGGCACTCCAAAATTCTCCTTGTCATGTTTAGCTGCATCCTTTGAATATGCAGGCTTCAGTCTGATTGGAATTGGTGAGATTAAAGGTATGACGGGTGATACACGTTTTAGCCAGTCTGCTTCCTCATCAGATTCTTCCTCAATCAATCGCAATCCAGGAAAATGATGTATAAATTCTGGTATAACACATTCAGGCGAGGATGAACTGACGATGGTATCGGGAGAATCTATATCGCGATTCGTCGCCATAGTCTCCTTCTTATCATCAGCTAAAAGAGCATCTTTAATTAATATATATAGTGTAAATACTTTATTCTTTCAAATCAGGAAAAAATATTTTTATATTTTTTAGATTCTATATTAATTAAATTCTATATTATTTTCATATTTTTATATTTCTCCTATTTTTAATCTTATTTTGATTTTCTTTTTATTCTTATTATAAATTTCTTAAAATTAGAATAATTAATATTAAAATTATTTGTAATCTTTTAAAATTACACTTATTATGAAAATATAAATATTTATAATAAAAAATATAGTTCCTCACAATCATCCAATTTCAAGGGCGGAAACTCCTGCTCGTAAAATCCTCTCTGTGTAGTCGAGGGTTGTTGAGGCGATAAGGGACTTAATTCTCCAAAAGGTTGTGTATTATAATGATCAGAAATTCCGGGTAAACTAGCCGATCCGTAATTTCCAATTAAATCACCGATTCTCGCGTTATAATCCTTTTGACTTCCAATCTTGACAAGATCTCCACATCCAAAGATTGGGCATACCCCATAATTACGACCCAGCAGAGGCTCCAGTACCACCATTGGTTGCAACTGCCGTAATTGCGTCATCAAGTTTTCCACAAAGGTCTCATAATCCTCATCGAGTCGTGAAACTTTACGGGAGCGTTTCTTCTGAGGTGCAGTCACAGCATCTTTCCCTTGGCTCTGTTTTCGTTTTTGCTGATACTGTCTTCTCTTTAATTTCTTGAGATCTGAAGGATATGTAAGGTAAATATAGAAAGTAGTGAAAATTTTAATCTTTTATATTAAAAAAAGAAAGTTTTAACTTTTAATTTTAATTTTAGAAAGTAAGTAAAACAGAAGGCTCACCGAATATATTATATATTTAATAAAGAAAGAAGAGTCAAATATAAAATCTAAACTTTTATATATAGGAATTCTGAGTTAGTCACACAGTTATATAAAAATCTTAGCAAGACTAGTAACTCATACACCAATGTTCCGATTTGTTTTGAAAGCATTATAATTTTTTTTAACTTGCATATATGTATATATATGTTTGTTTTAATTTTATACTGTGCATATTTTATTATATATATGTATATATATGTATGTATGTTTTAATTTTATAATATAACTTTTTTTGAGAAAAATTTCATTCTAGAAACAGTATTAAAATACTTTCATACACTCGTAATCGATTGCCTTTTAAAAATTTAGATGTTAAAAATGTTACTGTTAGACAAATATAGTAATATTTGTACTTACCAGTTTTATCATCTATCGCGTTATCTATGAGTTCCTCTTTGGCAGTAAGAAAATCTTTGGTATCAGTTTGCAAATGACTGGTTGGTGTCGTACCAGTAGTGGTTAAAACTTCCTCAAGTCCAAGTTCCTTCTTCACTTCGATCAAAGGCACTATGTTGGAACTCGACGGAGCGATAGAACCTGTAACGGCCTGTGGTCCCGTAATAGTTCCGTGACTGTGAGGCACTTGTTGAACAGATTGTTGATGAACGGAGGAAATCGAAGAAGAAACTTGTTGAGCCACTATTGGCTTTTGTGCGACTTGAATTTGATTTTGAACCTGTTGGATCTGAGATCCAGAAATGTTACTAGAGTTATTAGTTAGCGGTTGAACGTTCTTTGAGGTTACTTCAGAAGTTACCAATGGTTTGCCAAGCAAATTAACTTTTGCAATTGAAACGGCGATACGTTGTTGAGTCTGAGGCTCTTTGTCAGTGCCAATCCCTGACTTTCCTTGACCAGAAGGTTCTTGCTGATTTGTAGAAATACCTGGAGACATCTTCGTCGTTGTTATTGTTGAGGAAATTGATTGTTGTTTTGCTGAAGAATTTGTCGAAGAATTTCCTAAAGAGATTCCCGAAGAAGTAGAAACTGATTTTGTTGCTTGCTGCTTCAAGGTTTCGAGGTGTCCTCTTTGTGACGTTATTGGAATCGAGCAAGATAATGGGGGAGAAGATTTAGAAAGTTCTTCTTTGATTGGAGAACTTTGAATCTTCAAATGTGATGCCGAAGACAGGAAAGAAGTTTCATAAGAACTCGTAAGAACTTGTTGTTTATTTAATGCTGGTTTCGGTGTTGGTGTCTCACCTAGTAACTTGGGATTCAGAGGTGTAGGTGGAACTGGCCGGTCTAGTTGAGCCTCTAATGAAGAAACTTTTGGTAGAGTGGGTCCTTGCGATGACCCGGAAGTCGTAGCACTCGCCGTATTTTGCAATAATTGCTTCAGTAATACATGTGTTTGGGATTCCTCTAGCTTCAAAATATTAGAATTCTTGCTAGGATCTATTTCCTTCTTCTCTTGCACTTTGGATTCTTCAGGATCCTTTATCAAAGTCGTAGATTGATTTTCAAGGTCGTTATTTTTATTATCGATAGGTAAAAGGCCAGAAGATTTATACTGACCTTGATTAGAAGTCAAAAGGTGATTTGGAGCTTGTGATAAGGTTGTTTGAAGGATACTAGGAGTAGTAGATATTCCGCTGGAAATCGCTAAAGGTGGTACAACAGTTCTAACACATTGCATTGAATTAGTTACGGTTGAATTGGTATTTGCTTGTACTCGAGTGGAAGTGGGGCATCCTGAACTGACCTGGAGAATCTGAAGGTTTTGTGAGCGTTGTATCGAAGTCGATGGTAAAGAAGAATTAAAAGAATTGACGGACTGCGTTGATATTGCGTTACTTCGACCATGACCAGCAACTGTAGACTTTAAAGATGTAGTATCGGCCAGCATGGCATTCAATATAGCATTCGAAGTGATGGAAATTGTTGTAATAGTTCTAGTGGTTATTATTGTGGAAATAGTGTTGGAAACACTAGAACCTATTGTAGATTGGATAGCTGTAGCTGTAGTTGTAGCTGAAGAAGTTACTCTGAAAACCTGCTCACCATTACTAATCTTCGCAACTGCAGTAATAATTCCGCCAGATTCTTTTATCGATTCCTTTAGAGTCAGTTCCGAATCTTTAATAAGATTATTGATCGAATTAGATTGAGAGCGATTTTGATCCGACCTCGGCAAGGTCGCAATAATATTCTGGCCATTATTCGGTGAATTTAAAGTTGACAAGGTGCTAGAAGCAGATAAAACGCTTCCAGACTTGTCTGAAGCCACCGTGGTGACTATTCCAGTTTGATTCTGATTGCTTTGCAAGGATGATAGCAATGTTCTTAACTGATGAGATACATTGGCCACGTTGGAAGTCAATTCAGTTGGTTTTGAGAGTGGCGATAAATGAGGAACCGTCGTCGTACTTTTCTGTAATTGCGCCACAGTGCTGACTACTAAAGTGGAAGCTTGACTTGTTGTTGAAGGATTTTTCTTCATTTCAGAATTTTGATTTTTTACTTGATTTTTAGTTTCAGTTGAAGAAAGTTGATTGTTTTCTAGATTGTTTTCTTGCTCTACATCGATCAACGAGTCTTGAAGAATATTCAAGGGCAAAGTATCAAGCGGCGTTGGCATCTGATAGATAAGACTCGATTTCAATTCGCCGCTGTTTGCCATTTCCGGCTTCGATGAGATGATGTTGTGCAACATATCTAAAATATCATCGGAAGATTCATCCATCAAAGTTTTTTCTTCATTTAAACAATGCTGAAGAAATGGTTTGGAATTTTCCACTTCGGTACATAGCTCTTCTTGATGATTCTTATCATTAGAAAGAACATTTTTATTATTACTAATCTCTTCAATTTCTTTTTCAGTTTCTTTCGATTTATTATTAATTTTTTGTACGTCAGAACTTGATAAAATCTGTTCCTTATCGTTCTCTACTAATTCAGCGTCGTTCTCCAAGATGTTAACGAGCGATAAATCATCAGTGACAGGTGACATCCTTTTTAGAGTCGTTGGAGTATCATTTTTATTTTCGGGATTTTCTACAGGATTGTGAATAGCCTCTAGCATGCTCTCTAGTTCATCCGTAGTATTTAGTGGATCGGTCTTCTTTTCTTCAGCAATTAACCCCGAAGAATTGGTCTCGTTTTTTATTTTACCATGTATCACTTCTTCCTTTTTCTCTCCCTTCATTTCTCCTTCTTTATCTTCCATTTGTTTTTCTTTATTTTTTAGAATACTCTCTTTTTTCGATAAATCCGGAATAGACATTTTCGGAGTCAATAATGTAACAGATGTTGGTTGTACACTTAATAATAATTTTGTAGGATTGTTCTGAGACTCGGTTTTATTCATCGGTAAATTGGAAGAAGTTACTGAAGGCTTTCCTGAAGATAATATTTTCGGCGTTTCCCTGGCAGAAAATACACTAAATTTCAGATCTAATTTACTCTGCTGAGGTTTGGATACTATAGGCGTTTGACTAAGTTTTGCGGCAATCTTCGCGTCCGCCACGATGCTTGCCATGGTCGATGATAATGTGAAGTTTTTCTTGCTAAAGCAGCTTGAGGAAGCCTCATGTGAATCAAATTGATCTATGATTTTCGCTTCTGTCGCAATTGGGCGAATTGAGATTTGATTCAGTTGAGAATCGGAACTAATAGAAGCTAGAATTGTATTCGAATTTGTAGAAATCATAGGATTTGTTAAAGAAATTGCTGAATTTGACATCGTTATAGTATTAGTACTTGTTTGATGCATGGTTGAAGATAAAATTTTATTGTAAGAAGCTTTATCTGAAAAAACAAAGTTCGTGGGGCTCTTATTTTGCTTCAACTTGTTTTGTTCATCTATCGAGCTTTCATTAGTTACATTCTCCTTGGAAACATCAATTTGTATGTTGGAATCAATTTTCTCAGTGTCTTCGTCGCCGGATCCTTTAGAGAGATTATCTTCGGGAGATTTTGTCGTAGGGTCAATGATAACTACTTCAGATTCATTTACTAAAGATACCATAAGTTCTTGATCGAGAGATTGATCCAAATAAGAACCCGGAGAAGGATTTACTCTGAGTTCCTCTTGATCAGGAGAATCTGGAGTATCAGTAACAGCGACTAGCTTCTTTCCAGCTTGCAAAGTCCTCACTATATCAAGCCTAAGACCCTTTTTGTTTCTTAAATGAGACGGAATTAGGTCTTCATCGCTCAAGATTGGCTCTTCCGATTGTGATTCAGGATTTTCAATTTCTAGGATTTGCACTAGATCGTGACCTTGACCAGCATCATTCACTAAAGCGTGACAAAGTGAATCATTACTATCGGCAGATAGATCCACCACCATTCCAGGTTCAAAGAGAACATACTCTTCTTGCATATCTCCTTCTAGACTTCCTGAAATAACATCAACTAACTCCGAGTCACCAAACTGCTCAATGACAGTAATATCATCGCTATCCCGCTGAGCTGCGGAACTCAGAGTTACCTCGGTATTTACTATAGTTTTATCGTCATCATAATCTGTCGTATCTGGAAGCTGTTCCAATTTTACTTCAGGACTTTCCAAAGATTCATTATCTAAAGTTGAAGAGATTAGAGAAGAATTTTGAGCAGTCGGTTTCACTTCCAAGGTCGTCGGCGAAGCCTGTGGTGGAGTATGCGAGTCATCATCGAAGTCATTGTAATCGGCGCATACTAATGAGCCGATTCTGGCGGTTTTTCGATTCACAGAAGTGTTTGTTTTCTCTTCGGCGAGCTGTTCTCTTTTCGTCTGAGATATGTCTAACATTTCTTTGTTGTTTTTGCTGCTTTCTGCTTTACTCGACCACATCGGCGATCCACCTCTTAAACCTAATTTAAAATATCCAAATCTTCCAAAATTGGAAAATTTATTCATTAACTTTGCGGGGCTATTTGCTAATGAAAGACTTTGCTGATCACCTGGTGAACCTCCTTTCAACCCTAATTTAAAATATCCAGACTTTCCATAATTAGGAAAAGGAATTGGATTTAAAGGATTATTGGAGTTTCCTCCACCTCTAGCAGAATTTTCTGTTAAAGAAGATGAATCTTGAAGGATTTGCAGAGAAGCTTGATCATTTGAAGCTGTATTTAAATTAGTACTTTGTTGAACAAAATTATGAGGTGTATGGGGTGTTCTTGGCGTTCCAGGATTTTCTACGCTTTGTGGTCTATCTGGCATAGCCGGACTACTTCCGGTAGATTGTCTTCGTTGCATCTGCATAGGAGATCCGGCTATCATAGGACTTCTAGGCATCATAGGTGAACTAGGTGGTTGATTTGTTGCCGAAGAATGATGATGACCGTGAAGCATTGGCGAAATCCTGTTTAATGGACTGGGAGGCTGCGAAATCGGATTTAACTGCTGCTGAAGCATTGGAGATCCCATTGTTACTTGTACCATAGGTGAATTTGGAGGTTGACCATAACCTTGTTGAAGTTGTTGATGAAGCTGTGGACTTGGAGAACTAGCTGGTTGAGACACCATTGGTGAATTGGGTGGCTTTTGTTGCTGCTGCTGTTGCATCTGTAAAAACTGCTGTCGTTGCTGTTGCTGAAGAATATGTTGTCGTTGTTGAACCATTTGAAGCGATCTTTGACCGATAGAATTCTGTCCTTCTTGAGGAATATTTTGAGAAACATTTTCATGTTGCTGTTGTTGCAAAAGCTGACGTTGTTGCTGAGTTATTTGAAGCGATCTTTGAGCGATAGAAGTCTGTCCTTCTTGAGAAATAGTTTCATGTTGCTGTTGATGAAGAACTTGTGGTCGTTGTTGAGCCAATTGTAATGATCTTTGCGCAATCGAATTTTGTCCCTCTTGAGACGTAATCTGAGAAACACTTTCATGTTGTTGTTGTTGAATAATTTGTTGCCGTTGCTGAACCATTTGCAGCGATCTCTGAGTAATAGTACTTTGTCCATCTGGAGAAACATCTTCATGTTGTTGCTGAAGAATTTGTTGCTGTTGTTGAAGGGTTTGTTGTCGTTGTTGCGCCATTTGCAAATTTCTTTGAACAACAACATTCTGTCCCTCTTGAGAAATGCTTTCATGTTGTTGAAGGACCTGTTGACGTTGTTGGGTCATTTGTAATGTTCTTTGAACAACGTTCTGTCCATCTTGAGAAATGCTCTGTGCAATTCCTTCATGCTGCTGTTGAAAAATTTGTCGTTGTTGCACTATTTGCAAATTTCTTTGAACGGCAACATTTTGTATGTCCTGGGAAGTATCTTCCTGTTGCTGCTGTTGAAGAATTTGCTGTCGTTGCCGAGCTATTTGCAACGTTCTTTGCCCAATAGCGGTTTGTCCTTCCGGAGAAATACCCTGAGGAATTATTTCATGTTGCTGAATTATTTGTTGTTGCTGAAGAATTTGCTGCCGTTGCTGCGGCAAATGTAAATTTCTTTGAGTAACAGCAGTCTGCCCTTCTTGAGAAATATCATTCTGTTGCTGTTGTTGCTGAAGAACTTGTCGTTGCTGTTGTTGTGGGACCATTTGCAACGATCTTTGATTAATAGAATTCTGTCCTTCCTGAACAACACCTTCAGTTTGTTGAAGAATTTGCTGTCTTTGCTGAGTCATTTGTATCGATCTTTGAGCAATAATATTTTGTGTATCATGAGAGATACCTTCTTGTTGCTGCTGGATAATTTGTTGCCGAGCCATTTGTAAATTTCTTTGAGCAACAACATTCTGTCCTTCTTGAGAAACAACATCATTTGTTTGCTGCTGTTGTTGAAGGATCTGCCTCTGTTGGGCTATCTGTAAATTTCTTTGAGCAACAATATTTTGTCCGTCTTGAGAAATATCATTCTGTTGTTGTTGCTGAAGAATTTGTTGTCGAGAAACACTTTCAAGTTGCTGTTGTTGAGTAAAAACTTGTTGCCGTTGCAATGACCCTCGTGCAATGACACTTTGTCCCTGATCCTGAGCAATGCTTTCATGTTGAATAATTTGTTGCCTCTGCAACAATTGTTGATGCTGTTGACTCAGCAATTGTTGCTGTCCTGGTTGAGGACTGTAAACAATGCTCCCCCTTCTTTGTGTCTCTGGTGGTCTGACAAATCTCTGAGCTAAATTATGAACTTTCACACTCTGATCAGCTATTATTTGCTGTTGATTTCGTGTTTCTGACGTAAAGGCACCAGGCGAAGTTGCTAACCTTCCGCCTATAATGGCTCTATGTTGTGGTGATGTCATCCGCGTAGTATTAGGATTGCATAAACCCGGAGAAGGCATTGGTCCAGGGCTGAAAGGACTTTCGTCACCTTGAGAATGAGGAGTGCCAATTCTTGGCGACTGTTGCTGGACATTATGAGGTGACATTGTCCCTAGATTTGTTGACTGAGAATTACCTGGACTATGTTGAAGCAGCGGTGTACCTGGACTGTGTTGAATAATTGACGGAGTTGCCGGTGAATGTTGAATCATGTTAGGACCAGGGCTTTGAGAAATTAATGCTGCTGGAGAATGCATCGGAGAATGTTGAGAAGGTGACATGAGCGGAGAACAGGGTTCATTTGGTTGGGAATGAACCTGTCGTTGCTGTTGTTTGCTCTGATATTCTTGGATTAGCATATTATGTTGACGGCCTTGTTTACGCGAAGCATCCAAATGTTTCTGTAAAATAGTTTGTTCACTGGTAACTCGTTGCAATTCGGCAGCGTCCGTTTCTGGTAGCTCAGCACCAGCTTTTCGAAGTACGCGTTGCCTGCCATTGAGAGACTGAAAAAAGAGGAAACAAAAATTTACATAAAGCAGTTCAGTATTTTGCATGCAATAAAAATTTAGGAGTAAATAACTTAAAAGATTCAAGTCACAAAAACCTTATTATAAAGAAATTTTTTTTGTATATTTATAATTTATTTAATTTATAATTGTATAATTACTTAAAATGTTTTTCATTTAATTTAAGTATATATTTAGTGTTTAATTTTAATATACAGATTAACTTAATTTCATTTACCTTTCTTACTTTGCGGAGTTTTTGAATTTCTCCTTCATAATAATGTAATTGTTGTTTTAATACTTGATCTTGATGATTAAGCCATTGTTCATATTGCAACTGCATCTGTCGATCTTGTTCGTTAACTATATTTTCTGGTGGAGTTGGCGGTGCTGGTATCTGAGGAATGTTGAACGTAGCTACCCTCGCTAAATTATTAATAATGTAGTTTTAAAATAGATTAAGAATAATTATCTGTGAATAAAAATATGTGTACCAAATATATTATAATTTATTTAAGTAAAAGAATAAATCTCATGTGTGTTTATGACAATCCTCTTATAAATATTAAAGAGAATCAAGTAATATATCAATTATCTCTCAAATTTTTAGATAAAATGATATTTATTTTATTCAAATAAAATTTATATTACCAAGGATAAAATATAACATTTTAACAAACTTGAATAAATTCATAATAAATTAATTTTATATAATAAATATTATATATATATATATATATATATATATATATATATATATATTAAATTAACATAATATAATGTGATTGTATAATTCATTTTTTCTTACTTTTATTTTTTTATTATTAATAATTAATAGTGATAAAAAAATAGATAATAATGAAAAAAATGAAAAATAGATATTGTAGAAGATTACTAACGTTCAGGCGGGGTCTGTGTAGCGATCGGTTGTCTCGCTCCCACTTGCGCCACTGTCAACTTTGCCGTTCCATCAGCAGCCATACCACTCTGCCAATTGGTATCAGATGCGGAAGAAACTTGCCTCGCTACGCAAGGCGGCCTGATCACCGGCACTATATTCTGAGGCGGTGAGGTAGTACCCAAAACATCAGCTCTGAGCCTTTCGAAATCACTGTCACTCAAAAGACTGCTTCCGGTAGTATTTTCAGTTTGTTGCTGTTGTTGTTGTTGTTGTTGTTGCTGCTGCTGCTGCTGTTGTTGTTGTTTTTCTTGCTCTCGTTTCTCCTGTTCCAGTAACTCTTCTAGCAACAATGGCTGCTCCTGTGAACACGACTGCTGACAGTCAAAGTCGATTTCGGATATAAGGGATGCTACTTTGGAATTCAAAAGTTAAAATTGTAATTGCAATAAAATAGAATATCGAACTAGTATAGTCAGATAAGATTGTGTATATATATATATATATATATATATATATATATATAATGCAAGACAAAATATACATGGATAAAATAAAATTCCGTGTTGGATTATACAAATTCGGATTTATAGATGTGATAATACTTTTAAGAGAGCAAAATTTTTATTTATTTTCTATTTTATCTAAAAAACAAGGAAAAGATGTATGATTTAATTAATAATACATACAAATGTGTGTATATGTATACACACACACATATATACAGGGTGCTTCAGAAATAGTTGGCCTAACTTTAAGAGCATATTCTACTCATTGTAAGGATGAAAAAGTCATATATAAACATGAGTTCGGAAACGCTTCCTTACCAAGATATAAACATTTTCTATTTACTTTACTTACAGACTTTAACAACAATTGAACGTCCGACGTAATACGTACAATGTAAATAGAAAATGTTTATAACTTGGAAAGGAAGCGTTTCCGAATCCATGTTTATATGACTTTTTCCATCCTTACAATGGAATATTCTCTTAAAATTTGACTAACTATTTCTGAAGCACTCTGTGTGTGTGCGTGTGTGTGTGTGTGTGTGTGTGTGTGTATATAAGGGTGTAACAAAAAGGTCAGGGATACAAGATTATCTCGAAAAATATTAGAATATATAGAGTTGTATAAAAAAATGTTTCAGATAAAAGTTGTAGAGCTTGAAATGATCTATTTACTGATCTTATAAGTTTGATCTTAGACAGTCATTTGAAGGTCATATGAAGATTACTTTTAATTTTTTAAACGAAACCCTCTATTTTTTATTACTTATTTTTATAGCTTATCTCGAAAGCTTTCCAAAATAATAAAGTATTTTTTTCATCGAGTACTTTTCGAGTTATGAGACTTGAAATAATTTCTTAATTTAAATCATAAAATATTTAACAAAATATTCATTTTTCGATTATCTTAACTTAATACTTTTATGCACAAAATAATGAGGAATCAATTGATGTAAAGAAAAAACATAGTTGTTTTTAAAAAAAAGATGTAATTGTTAATTGCAAAGTATTTATAAAAATTACATATTTTTTCTTTGAAACAATTATGTGTTTTCTTTACACCAATTGATTCCTCTCATTATTTTGTACATAAAAGTATTAAGGTAGGATAATCGAAAAATGAATATTTTACTAGATATTTTACGGTAAAATTAAGAAATGATTTCAAGCCTCAGGAAGTTAATGAACTTAATGAAAACTAACTTAATTATAGTGTTTGGAAAGCTTTCGAGATAAGCTACAAGAATAACTAATAAAAAATAGGAAGTTTCATTTAAAAAATTTAAGATGACCTTGTTCTGACCTTGGCAACGCCATCCAAGATCAAACTGATGATATCAGTAAATAGATCATTTTAAGCTCTACAACTTTTATCTGAAACATTTTTCTGTACAACTCATATTTTTCGAGATAATCCGGTGTCCCCTTTTTGTTATATATATGTGTGTGTGTGTGTTACACACATACACACACATATTCGCTCACGCATGTTCGCAGATGCATGCAGAATGCTTTTAATACATTTAATGAAATATATAATCATAAAAGAAGCGTTATTCTCTGAACCGTATTACTTTGAAATGAAATAAAAAAAAATAATTAAGCAAAATTTGATAAAACGCATTCTTTTATTCAATATTAATAAAATTAATATCATACAATATTCATGCAAACATATTTGAAAATGCATTAAAATTCATAAAAAATAAATATAAAAAAAGACATAAAAAGTGCAGGTATTAATATTTCGTTTTTGCTTTTAAAACACAACATTGAAACTTTAATCTATAATATAAAATTTTTTTTTCAATTAATGTTATATTATATAACAAAATATTTAATATTTAAATAATTCTTGTTTGAGACTTAATACATACTGGCTATTAAAAAATTGTAACATTATATATATACGTATAATATTGCAATTTTAATGACTAACGATATATCATGTGTCTCATATATTACATCTTATAAAATTAATTAATTAATTAAATAAATAAAATGTCCTTCCTATTGTAATTAATTTATTATTCTTTTATTTAAAATTGTATATTTTCTTTCTATAATATATATATATATATATAAATAAACTTTTTAATTTAATATTATACATTTTTTTCATCTATATTTTATTAAAAATATTTGTTTTAGCAGTAAATATATTATCGCTTATAAAAAATAGAAATTAATAGTATTTTTATCTTCACATACAAAGAAATAAGTTTTTCACAAAGCTAAATTTCAAATATTAAAAATTGTTTGTACCTTTCAGATTTATTTTTATTTTGTTCTAATGTTAGAAATGACCCGAATCTTGCTCACCTGCAAAAGCAAGGGTCTTCGATGAGAGTGTGGCACCACGGGGCCCATCGGCGGGCCTGCCACCGGCACCTGGTGCCCCGTTATATGGACCGAGGGCCGCGTCATACCTCGCCCATTACCACCACCTGGGCACAGCCCCATCTAGACACATGCACCAACACCAAATGCATATTGCAAACTTGCACACCCAGACCAAAAACACCAGTCAATATTTTTGTCACAATTTCTTCAGTATCATTTAAATATTTTCGAGATCTAAACTAAAATTTCTCGGGGCGACAACCCATTATAAGGAAAATAAAAAATGAAAAATTTTTATCAATGTATACACACACACACACACACACATAATAAAATAAAAAAAAATATTTTCGTTTTTGCAGAAATTTGATTTGAAAATACCTATTCTTAGTATTTCAATAGATTTCAATTGAAAACATTTTTCTTTCCATATTTATATAACAATTGAATATAATGTTATAAATATATATGATAGGTACTAAAATAAACAAAATCTAATTAAAAACAGATATTAAACTCAATTGTTACTGTAATAACATATATTACAATGCAATTTTTTAATTACAAAATCGATGTCGTTATTTACTAACGAGATATTTTTCTAGAAAATGTTCAACGAATTTTGTTGACGACTGAGATTAAGGTAAAAATAAAAGTTAGTAAAATACAACAAAATTTTGTTAAATAAATTAGATTATTTATTTGTAGGCTTACTGCTATTTATAGATTTAGGACTCATTTAAAAAATAAGAGAATAATTCGTTTTCTAACCAAGAGCAAAAAAACTGCTTTGTAACAAAAAAAGTTGTGTGTATTATATGTGTATTTTTCTAATTTAAAATACATTCTTCTTAGCACTGAAAGTGTTAGATATTATTTATATAGCTACGCTTATAACCACATCAAACTTTAATGTTTCGGTTTCGTTTTTTGATCAAATTATTGCGAGGTAAAGTATTATTTTATTATAAAATAATTTTATTATTGTTAGAAAACTCACACACAGACATCAATATAAAAATGTATAATAATTAAATTATCTATTTTTGTACACTTTTCTTTCTAATTTTAATATTCTTCTAATTTAGTTTACACGTATTATAGATTATATTTCATAATGAAATCTTTCTTGTATTTTCTTGTAGGCAATCTTTATAAATATATTTTTAAATGAAATTATTATTGTTATTGAGAGAAAATCAATTTTTTTATTTTTAATTATATATATGTAATATAAATTATTATCAAAGTAAATATATTATTTGTTTTGAATTCCAAGTTTAATTATATATGAATACTTTTTAGCGCGTAATTTGCAAAAATATATATAATTTTAAAATTGTAGCCTAGCAAACTGTGCAATATTACTTTGTGTACATTTTGAAACTGTAATCGCGTAAAATATTTTTTAAATAAATTTAGCAAACCTATAAAATATTGACTGACACAAATATTATACATGCAATCATGAAGCATTTTATTAATACATCTTGCACAAACCGTGTTATATGATCAAATCGTGTTATATAATTAATAAATATCATCAATAAAGTTTTATTATAATATTATAACATCACTAAAGTTAACATCATCATTAAAGTTATCAATATTATCTACAATATTATTTACATGTTTTTATGACTTTAATTTCGAAAATCATTATTATTCTCTCTATATGTATATATGTATGCATATCGCGTGTATGTATACGTGCGTCAGCGCATAAAACATGAATGTATGCATTTTAAACACTTATGAGAGTAATAAATTCTGTCCCATTACTTCCCTCTCTCTTTTTCTCTCCGTAAAAAATTTTTCATAACAAATTTTTCATTAGAAATTTTTAATAATTTTTAATTTATTTAAAAAAATGTAATATAATAATATGTTTAAAATTTTTATTTTATTATAATTTAATTTTTGTAATTTATTATAATATACAATTATAATAAAACTAAATATTAAAGCATAAATTTAAAAAAAAACAAAAGTATAATTAAATATTTTGAACCTACCTGTATTGGTCCAGGATACGGAGGTGGTGGTCCCGGATACGGGGGTGGCGGTGGCGGTGGTGGTGGTGGAGCAAGCGGCATTCGAGTGCCAACCATGTGATTTACGGCGACGAGTCTATTTGGCACCCCTGTTAATCGCATACCTGATCGTTGTTGCTGCGAGACTGCAATAAGAGGTAGATTTAATATATGGATGTTATTATTATAACATTAAAATTAGTATTTTTGTATAAGAATTAAAACTATGTACGTATGTGCGTGCATGTACACACATCCACATATGTACACATAATATTTATGTAAAAAATTTTATATAGATATATTAATTAAAAATCTCATTATACAAATATTAATAATTTTAGTTTTTGTAAAATAAGCAATTTTTTGTATGCATAAAATCATATATGTTTTACATTCAACATAAATAATTAAGTAACACATTTACACATACACAATGTTTTTCATTTACCTTGTATATGCGTTTGCGAGATTCTCTGCTGATGTCCAGGGAAGTTTGATGGATAACTCACGGTTACTGTATTTGTAGAAGTCACTATTCCTACTGCTCCGTCCGGCGACAGCAATTTCGTTCCCGGTGGTATTGGCCGACCTGTCGCTGCTGCTTGTTGCACTTGCTGATTCATCTGCTGCTGCACTACTTGTGCTTGTATCACCTGCGATGTAGCTTGTGTCGATATCATTGTCGGCACATTGGAATTTTCTGTCAAATTTGTACTTGTTGCACAGGAATCGGTAGAAATTTCAGAAGATGGAGCAGTTATTTCCGATTTCTGATCATCATCCTTAGTTTCTTTTTTTTGCTTTTCGTCCTTGGGATCAACTTCGACTTGTTCGAGATCCAGATCAAGGATGTTGGTCTTTTCCCCGCCCGTAATCGTGTCTAATTCAGGATCAGCATATTCCAAGATGTTGAAATCTGCTCCCATTTCGGCTAAAAATTAGAATTTTTTTTTTAATATTAAATTTTTTTATATTATTAATTTATGTAACATTTTTAAACTTTACAGTTTGATTTATATAGCACTTTATTTTTAGAAATTTATTCTTATAGTGATAATATAGTAACATATTCCGATCTTATCTTATATTCTATAAGATTTCTTATTTTTTTTTATAACATATGACTTACCAAGCAGTTCATCATCATCATCTGCTAAATCTCCCAATATTGCATTGACACCTTCGACTTCGACCATTGGTCCAGCCCCTTCTTGCTCTAGCTTCTCCAATTCGGCTGTAACGTTGTCGGGTATCTCGGATGCTTCCGAAGTAGTTCCGACTCCTGCGGTGTCGCTCATCGTTGTAGGAATAAGAGGTGTTCGGACTGGGACGGTACTCAACATGCGAATACTTTGATTCAAATTGTCCTGTGTCGTCCGTGCAGCAATGCGCTGATTCTGAGCTTGATTTGAATCTAAATAATTTGGTTTTAGTTTTTTAAAATTTAAAATTTGTAAACTTCAAAAATTAAAAGTTTGAGCGTTTGTTTAACATTTTGGACTATGAGTGATATAAAATACTAAAACTAATCTAGTAGAAAGGAGAGAATTATTATTAGAATTAATTATGATTCACAATCACTAAACTTTTACAAAAAATGACGTTTTCCTATTTATTAAATTTATAAAACATGAAAAAAATGTAAGAATGTGAAATGTGTTTGTGAAATAAGAAATACCAATATAAGGAATACTATAAGTTTAGAGAGTTTAAATTTGGAATTTAAAAATTCCGAATTTTTCGTCGTCAAAGTTAGAGAAAACACACTGTTTTTCTCTCTTTTCTTTTAATTAATCTATAATAAAATAAAATTAATATTGAATTAAAATAAAATAAAATAAAAGTAAATTACATCTTATAAAATTTCATTTCTTTCAATATGTTGAAAAAATGTATTTTTCTCTCTCAAGATTCCTTTAATTTACCTGTGAATTGTCTCTGTTGCTGTAAAATATCATAAGGCTCGGGAATGGTATTTCTTATTGTTGGCATTCGTGTTTGTAGACTTTGAGTTCCTTGGAAATGCTGTTGAGATATACTAGTGGTAGTTACTTGGGGCCTATTTTGCAGCAACATCTTAGTACGATGGTCAATCGAACCCTGAATATTCCCTGCTACAGGATGTCGTGGATTTATTCCTGGATTCATATGTTCACAGATGGAAATATCATGTAAAAATCAAGGATTTTATGAAAAAAATAATAATAAAATAATTCTATTTTAAATTCCTATAAAATATTTTTTATAATTGAGTGGCTTAGATATTAAATGATACAAGTCCGAAAAATAAAAATTTGAGAAATAAAGACTTTTATATTTGCTTTTATCATAAATATATAATGCATAGATATAACTGCAGGTCTAATTAATCTTGAGAACAGACTATTTCAGTGTAATTATAATGATTGATTGTATTGCCTGGATCTAAAATTTACTAATAATTTGAAATTGTTTGAGTGGACTTGTACCATTTTAATATCTGAGGCACTTAATTGTAATGTAAAAATATCATAAATATTAAATAAAAATAAATATATTATAAATAAATATATAAATAAATATAAATAAATATTGCGTAAAAAAGAAATTTGTTGTATATATAAAGTATTATAAATTAATTTTTATATATTAAAACAAGTTGCTAAATAAAATATTGCGAATTAATATTACCAATGGAATTTCTGATTAAGACATTTGGTTGAATGGGCAATCTAGGTCTGATAATGCCCGGTGGAAGAGGATGTCTGAATGTGCCTTCACCGGTGTTGCTCGGTATTTGAGAATGCTGCTGAAGCGGCACATGGCTCACTTCGAAGTGTTGGTGATTGTTTTCCGAATTATTCTGTCCATCTGAATCACAAAAATAATTTGAAAATGTAAAAATTTAACTTTAATTATGTTTCAAAGAGTTCATATTAAGAATAACGAGAAAATGTAATCTGTGCATTCACGTCATATGAATGTACATATTACATTTTCTCTCTCTTTATTCTTAATATAACTTATATATTATTAAAATTTTCATACAATTAATATGTAAAAAAATAATATTTATTATTAGATATTATATTATCGAATATAGTCTTTATATTATTAAGATATTTTATTATAAAATTATAAACTTAAAAATACCTTGACTCCAATTTGTGCTAACTCCTTCAATTTTCTTATTAAACTGTTGCCTTTGTAATAAGTCCCTTAGCTGTCTATTTACTTCTGGTTGTTGTCCAAAAGTCACTTCTTGCTCCTGAGGTGTCCGAGTTTCGGAACTTCTTGGTGACGGATAGCCAGACGCGGTGGAGGCGGACGCAGTGGGAGTAGCGGGTGGTTGGCTGTAAGGATCGGGAGTTCGCGATGTTGCAGGAGGAGGAGGAGGAGCATAAACGGGAGGTCGCGGTGGATTAAATATAGGACGGGGTGTACCTGGCGTTTGAGGCGATGAATAAGGAGATGCGGGAGTCGAGACATTGCCTTCAAAACGCTGGAAATGGGATTCCTGAGAAGTTTGAGAGGATGCAGGAGACTGAGGAAAGTCATGAGGCGACTGGGGCGCCTGTGGCGAGAATGGAGACGGTGGCTGGGGAAATCCCGGGCGTACCCCTCGACAAGGAGTTTGCGCGGGGAGACGCACCATAGATTGATGATGAGGAGACTGAGGTGCGAGACCACGTGGAGCTTTAAGTGAAGGCGTAGCAAAAGTGCTGCGGGAACCTGGAGAAGGGGAGGCTAGAGAAGTCAATTGGCTTGTATCCTGCAATAAGATTTTAAGATTTATTTCAATTAATGTTAGTAATTCATGGGTCGGAAATGTATAGTGTATATACATATATTAATATATAATCTAAACAAAATATATGATCTAAATAAAAAGGGACTAAATAAATTATAATACTTACTTGTGCCGTAGACACTTGTAATTGTGTTGTTAATCCAGTATCACTGCTTAATGGGGGTACATTTTCCTCACTGATCTGTCTATGTACTCTGGCAATCGCTTTTAAAAAAAAGAGAAAGAATATAAAAAAATCAACAAATTGATTTAAAAATAAAAATCTTTTCCTACGCATTACATAACATATATGTATGAGTAACTTTTACTGTATTTTATTTTTAATTTTAAAACGAAAAAATTTAGTAATTTTTACATGTATGTATATTCGCTTAGTTTGCACTTAATTGATAAATTAATTTTTGTTTTTCTGTTTGTAAAAATCATATGAATTTTTTTATTCGCAGTCTCTTGACGAAGTCTCTCACAGACGCATTAATTTCTCTCCGAAATTCAAATTTAGTTAAAACAACGTTTTTATTTAATGTAACTTGTGCAATTTACAAGATTATCATCCATGCCGGTCTCCTGATTTTTATTACATCGTGTATACTTGATAAGGACCACAACCATATGGTCGAAATGTCGTACTAATAAATCAATTTCTGGCTAGTTTGGTCGATTATATTTCTTTGAAATTCCCTTTTTTTATTCTCTTTGTTTATGTAAATTTAATTTTTTATCAATTTTTATTGTAAACACATATACTTTTGCATAAATACTTATCTTATAATAAAACAATGTTTTACTTATATGAATTGAATATAACAGATATACCATGTACACGTTGCTCGATGATAACTTGCTGTTGTAATTGCGCTTGCTGTTGACGTAAAGCTTGCAGTTGTTTCCATTGTCTTTCTTGCTCAGCCTCTCTGCTAGACCGATCTCTGTTCGAAAGTCTGTCCTGTTCCTGTTAAAAATCAATTCGATATAACTTTCAAAATACTATCATAAAGAAGTATATTATATTTAGTATAAGTATATTATATTTAACATAGCCTTTTTTTTACTATAATAATACTTTTTTTTAGAACTATGTTATATTGATTATTATGATGACTAGAATCAATGGAAAATTATAACAAAGCTAGGCCTTTAATTACTACTAAAATTGATAATTCTGTTATTTTTATTAAATTTTTACTTAATTAATAAAACGTTGAGCGTTAATATAACTTTTATTAAATATTAATTGTATTTATAAATTTAATTAAAATTTAATAAACGCATATTTTAAAGATTTATCAAAATATCTTCATAATTTTATATACATTTGTATATGATATATAACTTCACACACACACACACACACACACGCTATATATATATATATATATATATATATATATATATATCATATTATTTCAATTATCAATAAATCAAATAATTCTAATTGCATATTTTTTTCGCGCAAATTACTATTAAAGATAAAGCAAAAATTACACTAAAGAATGTTCATATATTTTTATGATTGGACAAAAATTTAAAAAGAGAAAAGAAAAAAAAAGAACCTTGAAGATAGAGAATTTAAAAAAATATTTAAGTACTTATTCTTTATAATCTCTCATATAATTTCTCTATTTGCTTTTTAGATCTCCCAAAATCATCAGATATTTTTCTAATGGTATATTTTCTTAGTAAAAATATAAAAAAAATTATTTTAAGTTTTTAATTTTTTCTATCATATATCTTTGTAATTAAAATTTAAATATAAATAATTCTATTAAAATAAATTGCAGTTGATATAAAGTAAAAAATATAGTTTTGTTAATCTTTTAACTCTACAAAGTTTATATACGTGTATATATACGTGTGTATGTATGTATGTATATGTGTTATGTATGTATGTATGTGTACACACACACACACACACAACACATATATATACAGTGTTAGGGCAATTTTTCTCGCAAAAAAAGCTCTTGTATCTTATCTCGAGAGCTTTTCAAAACACTATAATGAAGTATTTTTTCATCGATTCTTTTCGAATTATAAGGCTTGAAATAATTTCTTAATTTTTACATAAGCCATAAAATATCTTGTAAAATATTCATTTTTCGATTATCTTACCTTAATGCTTTTATGTACAAAATAATGCGAGGAATCAATTGGTGTAAAGAAAATACATAATTGTTTCGGAAAAAAAAGGTAATTATTAATTGTAAATTATATATATAAATGTAATTGCAAATTACATATTTTTTTCTTCGAAACAATTATATTTTCTTTATACCAATTGATTCCTCTCATTATTTTGTACATAAAATTATTAAGGTAAGATAATCGAAAAATGAATATTTTACTAAATATTTTATAGTTTATGTAAAATTAAGAAATTATTTCAAGTCTCATAACTCGAAAAGTATTCGATGAAAAAATACTTTATTATAGTGTTTTCAAAAGCTGTCGAGATAAGCTACAAAAACTTTTTTTGACGAAAGATTGCCCTGACACCATACACTTGACCTATACACTTTGTATATATACTTATAATATTTATAAAATTAAATAATTCGGAAATGATTGTTTTCACGTTTTTAATAAGGAAATGGTCTCTAAAGTAGCAAAAGAAATCTGCTATTAAAAGGATATTTGATGATTTTGAAACATTTCTATATAAAAAATAAATGTAATTTTTTTCAGATTCTTGGCCGATATTATAAAGTTTGCATGAACATTTTAAAAAATAATATCGTCACGCTGCTAAATTAATAATAATTCATAAGATTATGTAATGCCTCTTCTTACATGTGCAAACACATTAAAAGCAATTATATAATCGCTACTATCTATTAATTTATAATTGGAAAGCATAATTATATATAATTTTATATATATACATACATACAATTTTATATATATATATATATATATATATATATATATATATACACACATACACAGGGTGTCCCATTTTAAAAGTTCCACCCTCATAACTTTTTTAATTTTGATTGTAGAAAAAAATGTTTCAGACAAAAGTTGTATGGCTTGAAGGGAGACATAAGATGGTGTCATCAGTTTGACATTGAAGAGTCACCTGAAGGTTATGTAAAGATCACATCCAACTTTTCAAACGGGATATCCTATATGCTTTTGCATATTCTTATAGTTCATCTCGAGAGCTTTCCAAAACACTATAATTAAGTTAGTTTTCATTAAATACTTTCCGAGTTATGAAGCTTGAAATCATTTCTTAATTTTACATAAACCGTAAAATATCTAGTAAAATATTCATTTTTCGATTATATGTTTTCTTTACATCAATTGATTCCTCTCATTATTTTGTACATAAAAGTATTAAGGTAGGATAATCGAAAAATGAATATTTTACTAGATATTTTACGGTTTATGTAAAATTAAGAAATGATTTTAAGCCTCATAACTCGGAAAGTACTTAATGAAAACTAACTTAATTAAAGTGTTTCGGAAAGCTCTCCAGATGAACTATAAGAATATGCAAAAGCATATAGGGTATCCCGCGTGAAAAGTTGGATGTGACCTTCACGTGATCTTCAGGTGACTCTTCAATGTCAAACTAATGACACCATCTTATGTCCCCCTTCAAGCCATACAACTTTTGTCTGAAACATTTTTTTCTACAATCAAAATTAAAAAAGTTATGAGGGTGGAACTCTTAAAATGGGACACCCAGTGTATATATATACATATATGTGTGTGTGTGTGTGTACACACACACACACACACACATATATTTTATATACAACACAAATTAATTCATTCAAAGAAAAATTTTCATACATCATTAAAAACATAAAACATCATTATCTCATCAAAAACTAACGAAATTATTCCACATCCATGCACATAGTGTTAATAATTCCAACTAATCCATTATGTAACAAAATACAATAACAACTATATACACATACAAACATATATGTTAAAAGTTATTTCTATTAGTTATAAAGAAATGTAATAAGATATAAAATCTCGATTCGACAAAGTAAAAAAAATTTTATTTATTTATTTAAGAAATTTCTATTATTTATTTTCTATGTTTTATATTTTCTTTTCTTTATGTTATAATTACTCGATATACTTTTCAGCTTTTGCAGATTTAGCTTAAATTTAAAATCAAAGAATAAGAAAAGATAAAAATTCTAAGTTATATCATAACAATAAAATTCTAATCATATCCATAATAATTTTAATAATAATAATAATTTTATGAGAAAAGTCTCAAAAATAATATAAAGTAATAAAATTAGTACTAAACTATTGCATAAAATAATTATACGACAATATATATTCTGATATATCACTCACAATAACAGCAAAAAATCATAAGCAACATCGGTGGATTTAAAGGATAAAAAATGATAATTTATGATTTAGGATCCATGACAGGAGAAAAAATGACTGGATTGAATGTAAACATACTACCAATCATAAACATGCATTGAAATATCTAGATAATGTGAAATATTATTATAAAATATTTTTTGTCACAAACTAACAAAGATATTCAATATTCTATATATTATATAAAAGAAATTAACATAGAAAGATATAAAGATATATAAGAAACCTTATATATCTCCCGATCCCAATAATATATATATATATATATATATATATATATATATATATATATAAATATTATAGATATAATTTTTAATTTAGGAATTTAGAATTTAATTATATATATATATATATATATATATATATATATATATATACAGGATATCCTGAAATTACCGCTTCATATTTTAAAGGTAGATTCTCTGGCCAATTTAAAAACGATTTTTCCTCAGCGAAAATGTCGAAGGATCATTATTTTTTGCATATTCCCAATTTTTGTCATCATGTGTCTTTCTAACTAAGCCTTAAATTAAAATTCTATTAAAGTAAACTCTACCTAAAATTAACTAAAGAATGTGACTTTATTAATATTTTATTCCCATAAGGCTTAGTTTGCGAAAAACCCTTTATTTTCAATCATTTATAACTCAAAAACTATTAGTGCCTCGACATTTTCGCTGAGGAAAAATCGTTTTTAAATTGGCCAGAGAATCTACCTTTAAAATATGAAGCGGTATTTTCGGGACATCCTGTATATATAAAAAATTACTCCTAAATTAAAAATTATATCTATACCAATTTAAAGTAATTAAAAAATTGATACAAATATAAATTAGATCTTTATATACATACATACATATATATATATATATATATATATATATATATATATACACATACATATATACATACATACATACAAGACAAATATTAATCTATTGAAGATACCAAATAAAACAATGTCATTCATATATCAACAATATTAAATACGTATTAAATATAAGGAAACATATAAGTCTCATTTGGAGACTTTAGAAAATTTTTGCCTAATCTCAAATATAAAATACATACATGTACATATACATACATACACACGCGCGCGCACGCGTGCATGCGTGTAGGGAGAACACTAAGTCTCGATTAGACACAACGAGAAAGGTAAGAAAACACTACGAAGGCTCTCACCATGACGTTATTCGGATGGTGGTGGTGGTGTTGGTGGTGGTGGTGGTGATGGTTCTGTACGGGAGGCACAGTGTGAACAATTGCACTAGGTGGTGGCGGAGGTGGGGGATCGTAGTGCTCCTGGCTGAGGGACGGGAGGGTGCGCATGATCTCGGATGGAGTGAGTACTCGTATCTGATGTTGATCTACGCTACCGCTCCCGCCACTACTGTTAACGACAATCGGAGATGGACGTTGTTGGAGAGGTTGCTGCCCTTCACCCGAATTATTGCAATGAGAAAAAGAAGAAGAGGAAGAAGAAGAAGACGAAGAAGACAAAGAAGAGGAAGAAGCTGCTGTTGTGCAAGATTGCAAGGCAGACGATTGAAGATTTTTGGGGACATCGGGAGAGAGGGAAGGGCTAGGCGGGGTTTCCTGCACCCCACACACCTCCTGATGCTGATTACTGCTGGTTGATGTTATTCCTGTGGTCATCAACATTCCCGATTGTTTCTCCATAGGCTTCAGGCTCACCGCCTGTGATTGCTGCTGCTGGGCCGTCATAACGACAGGTTTGGTGATGATGTTGGTCATGGCGGTAGTAGTGGTACTAGTGGTGATGGTCATATTGATGGTGGTGGTGTTGGTGGTGATTATATTGGTGGTGATGATAGTATTGGTAGTGCTTGGTGGTGGTGTCTCCTTGGAAAGCTGTCGGATTAACACCGGGCGATTCGCGGTCACACGATGCGGTATATACGTGTATGAGAGTGTCTCATCGCACAAAGTGATCTCATGTAAGAGCAAACTTTGCAAAACTCAACACTATTACTTTTAAAATCGTATTATTTAATATCTTTTCTAATAAAATAAAATTTATATTCATAAATTAGTTCACTTTAAGTGAACTATATATTATATATAGTTCACTTAAAGTATATTAATTGTTAAAAGGTTTTATAAATATTTTAAATTTTAAAAGATTACACATTATAATATAAATCTAAGATTTATAAATCTAGAATTTCTTTAATATAATAAAAAACAATATTATAAATATAAGCAAAAGAATTTTAAAAAAATTACTCTTGTATGAAATTTAAATTTCTTTCTCTCTCTTTTTTTTCTCCTTGTTTTTTTTTTCATTTTTGAAATGTTATTTTGCAATTATTTTGAGTTTTGCAAGCAAAAATCTTTACTTTTTTTTTAGAGAAGACTGGATTCAATGAAAAAAGATACAAAGAGCAAAAATTTAGATTTAAATATAAATATTACATAATAAAACTTTATATAATAATATATAATAGGATTCTATAATAATAGAGAACTTTACACGAGAAACACTCCATACGTAATAAAAAATAAAAAAAACGATAATGGGCCCGAACGAGGCGATATAAGAACGCGTTCGATATGTAATTTAATCGTTAATATATATGGCAGTTTTACATATTTACGAAATACATAAAACACACATAAAAGCAAGGTATACGGATCTTGTGCGTAAATTTATGAATCCGCGGATTCGTGAACTTCTGTGAGGACTTTTATTGGATGTATATTTTAATAATAGGTCCTGTATATATATATATATATATATATATATATATATATATATATATATATCTGTGTGTATGTGTGTGTGTGTGTTGTGTTTAAATTATATCAGATAATGAAATAAAGAGTAACATTCATCTACACTTACAAATTTATGAATTATAAATTCTATAAATCGATTTTGTAGATTTACATCTAAATATGTATAAATCTATGAAACTTGAACTTATATAATATCATTTTTTTTAAGATTCATGTGTGTGTAGTCTGGAAATATCTTTACGAATAATAATGTGAATATTATTTTTAATTTTTATATAGAAGAATGTAAAAGAATTAAAAGTTTATATATCGCCCTTTTTCACCTCATTTGGGCCCATTATATAGAAGCCCGTTCACGTTCAATTTTGTATATTTTTGAACGTGAGTCGGATCTATCATTATATTACTAGTGACTTACAATATATTTTCTACTATAACTCGATGTAAAGATTTATTAATTACAATATTTTGCACCATAAAGACTCGATTAATTTCAGATATTTTAAACCTGAGATATTTATTTATTTTTCATTTTTTAATGGAATTTTCATTTTTGTTCATTTTTTGATTTATTCTTTTTAAAGAATAAGATTACTTTTAATATTAAATTCCATCCATCATAAAATGCATGTTTATGTATATATTTTTAATTAATTAATGTGTACCTATATAAATATGTATAAATATGTGCCTAATATTTTATAACTCAAATAAAAAATTATTTTGTATCCAATTATTCTCTATCTAAGTATCTAATTATTTTCATTATTTTAATACTATAATATTTAGCTCAAAATGTTTATTAAAAATTAAAATTTATATTAAATTAACGAAAACAAACAGTTCGAACGTAATTAAATCTTTATAAAATATAGATATTATTTTGTTTTTGCTCATTTTAACTAATTATGTATATATTTAATCAGATTTTAACTAATAATGCTTTAAGAATCATAAAGTTCATAGTAGGAACATAGTTTGCGACACACAGAACTGTCGAGCTGTTAGTCTCACTTGAATGTTAGCACAAGACACTTTCGAAGACAAATCCCAATGAAAGATTCAGAAATATGGATATCCCAATAAATTATCGCGTTTCTTAGCTATAAATCTTTGCTGAGAAATTAATTAACGTATAAAACTAATGCGATAATTGAAGTTTGCACGACTCCAGAGCGTTTCTTTTCATTTTGAGATATACATATATGCATATATTAATTACCTGTTGTGTCTTTTTCATGCGAATGGCAGCTCGATTATCACGGGCCTGAGTCAAATATGGAGCTTTTTTGTCATTCGGAAGAGCTCGCCATTTTTTCAAAATCTGCTTATATCTTTCGGACCACGCTGCACATATTTAAAATATTCATTAAGCCAACATAATTACAAATCAGAATTTTAATGAACTTTAACTTTTTGCATACAAATTGTAATTAACAGAAGAAAGAATATTAAAAAATTCTAATTAAAATAACAATTCTAATAAAAAATAGAAAAGAAATGCATTAAAAATATTTAATAAAAAACAAAGCCTCACCTGGATATTCAGTTTTCCATTCAGGATGATTAATATTGGCATAGAGCACTGAAGATATTGTTGCTCCAGTACCCAATGCTTCGTCAGCCTCCATTTTTGGATTGCTTCTTTGAGTGTATGAAATAGTAGCATTTCCTGCTGTAGTGTTTCCTTCATCTTCAGGATTCACCCATGGACTGGGTGGTTCAGAAAATGCTGGACTGAATTGTGGACTGCTGAAAAATTAAAATTAAGATTAAATCAATATTCAATTAAGATATTGTGTATTTACAAAATGCACACATACATACTCCACATATACATACTGCGCATACGCACGCACGCATGCGCACGCACACACACGTATTTTTTTATAGTTTTTGTTATATAGTTTATTATTTTAATTTTGATATTATTTCTCTGATGTTCACATTTTCACAAAATTGATACATAAAATACTCAAGCACATAATTATACATAATTATTACATATAATATATATGCAATTATATGTATATATGTAAATTTCATAATATATTTATAAAAATTAATATACTTAGATTAATTTATACTATATAAATGTGTGTATATATGCATACACACACACACACGCATGCACGCACGCATGCACGCGCACAAATGCGTGCACACACACACACACGCACGCGCACGCGACACGCATACACACACACACACACACACACACACACACACACACATCCCTTTATAAATTAATTATACATTAGTAATAATTAACTGATATATTTATGATAAATTTTATATATATATATATATATATATATATATATATATATATATATATATATACATTTATTCTTACTTGCTATACTCAGAGTGATATGGTGAAGGTGGTGGAAAACTCATTGGAGAGTTTAAGGTTGATTGTCCAACTGAGGGCAGACTACCAGGTACTTGAGGTCTTGCCAAAGGCATTTGAATACCTACAAAACAATGCATTCAATAAGATAAAAATAATTAAAATTATAAAGTGTGTAGGTATGCATTAAATATAAAATTTTTTTATTATATAAAAGTATAAAATGTAAAAAATATAAAATGTGTTTAAAAAAGTTTTTGTAAATATATTTTCTTTATATTTTCATATAATTTATTTATGCATATATTTTAAATTTTAATTATTCTGTTTCAATCTTAAAAATTTTATATATTAAAGTAATAATAAAATAATTCTCTCATTATTTTCTAATTTTTTTCATTAATTTTTTTTAAAAAATAATTTTTCTTAGATATAAATAGTAAACAGATAATTTGACTTTTATTACATAGATTTTATTATTTTTTATTATAGTTTTGTTATAGTTATTATTTATTATTTTTTATTTTTTTAAATTATGATAAAATCATGTATTCAAAAGACCATGCACATAAAAAATGGATTAAAAATTAAAATATTTAAATATATGAATTTAATCTATTCCATGATTTAATCCATCAATGCATAAATTCACACACACTTTATGATATCGTCAATTATTATATAATTATTATTATATAACTTAATTTTAATTCTTTTTTCGTTAGCAACTTTTATTTTGGTCTGGCCTGGTATTTTGGAAAACGTTCGCTTTCTTGTTTATTATTGTAATATGAGTTTGTAATAAACTAATATTAGAAAAAGAAAGAAATGTTGTTTCTTCTTTGCGCTCCAACTACTGTGCATTGACTCTCATATGCCATTTTTGTTTTAATTTTTAATTATTTGAGCCTAAATTTAATATTAAATTTTATTTTTATTTTAATTCTACTTTAACACTATAAATTAATGTAGTAGTCTAACTTATATTAATTATGTGGTTTAATGAAGTAGTTTAATTTGTATTAATTATTAATATATTTAGGATTAATTTATTTACCAGGAGGATGAGGAGAAGGTGACACTAAGGAGGTAGTAGACGAAGAAGGATGCGAAGTTTGAGCTTGGACAGAAAACACAGATGATTCTTGAGATTCTTGAGATTCATCAGTTAAAACACCCTTAAATATCTCCTCGATATCTTTACTGTCCATATTTGGTAATCCTTAAAAAAATGAAATATTTAATTCTATAATTATATGATCACATTTTAATTCTTTACTAGTATTAATAATAATAATAATAATAATATTGTTGTTGTTATTATTATTATTATTATTATTATTATTATCATTAATGTATATATAATATAAATTAAAATGATATACTATACACAATTTTATATAAACTAGTATAATGTATTTAATATATAATTTTAATAATATTAATGCATAATTTTTATTTATAAGATCTTACCAGTATCTCTGACCATTGATTCCAAATTAAAATGTGGACTCA